CCCAGGGTGAAGTCACACATAGTCAACCATGGACAGGGATCAAGGCTGGATGGATGGACAGATAGAAATTCTATCAAAGGTCACAGAGAGTTGTGACCACAGCACTCTCACCTCCACTGGGAGCTCATCACTCTGGTCTTGTCTAGTGTGGCTCTTTGGGGACCAGCCAGGGGAGGCTTCTGTCGCCCCTTCCACCAGCCCAGGGCCTGGCGTTCGGCAGGCATGCAGGGGACATGCTGACAGAAAGTGAAGATGAATGTATAGTTAGGAGAAGCGTTTGGCAGACAGACACAGAGTGGGTGGGGAAAACGGGCAAAAGGACAGACAGATGGAAGAGACCGCACGCCACAGAAACGGAGACGGAGAAGATGAATGAGTGAGTGAGTGAGTGAATGACAAGATGGGGGTGGGGGTGTTGAGAAAAACAAAAAAACTAGAGAAGCCCAGTGAGACCCAAATGAACAGAGGCAGGAGCATAAAAGCAGAGAGAGGAGGGGAGAGAGACTTCCCTCAGCCTTGCCAGGAGGTTATTAGGATCCTTGGGTTCTTTCCTCAGTTTCCCTCCTGAGTTTACAGGGCTGTAGCCCAGGGGACTGGTGCCTGCCTTGTCTTGCTGGCTCTCTCCTTTGGGCAGGAGGGGCGAAGGACTGTTACCTCCTTCCCCCCCCACTGCTTCCTGGCTGAAGTCTACCCCCACCTTAGCAGAAAGGGCTCCCTCACTCAGCAGGCCCCAGCCAACAGCTTCCGCACAATTCCCTCACTGAGGAAGGCCCTGGGATGAGATCCCCTCTCTCCCTTCCTGTACTGAGGATCAGCCAGGCCTGGGCTGGAGGGGTCTGGGTGGCAACAGGCAAGGTTACCATTCGGCAGGCCCCAGCCACGCCTGCCTCTAGAGGGGGCGAAAGTCAGGAAGAGAAGGTGGCCAGGCTGGTGGCTGACGGGGGGTCTCGGGGACTTCCTGCCTCCCTGGAGACTTGCCTCAGTGCCCAGACTGTTAGTGCAGCTCTGGTATTTCCAATTCCCCAGGGAACCACAGGGGAAGGGGCCCCTGAGAGCTGGGAGGGAAAACAGAGTGGGAGGCGGCCAGGGCTACTGAATTCCCCTGGGTCCTAGAGAAGTGTGGGTTCCTTCCCGCCCCCCCCCAACCCATCTGTCCCCTCCACAAGGTCCCAACCTCACCTCCCCCACTTCTGGACTTCTCCAGAGTTCCAGCCCTGAGGAGAGACACTCCAAACCAAAGGGCCCCTGTCCCCTCCATGGGCCCCTCCCCTGGCCTGGCTCCGGGGACCAAAGCCCCCCTGCTTCCTCCAACCGTTGCTCCAGATGTGGCCGCTGGGGAGCGGAGAGCACAGGCCTCAGCTGGCAGTGGTCACTCGGTGGTCCCTGCAGAGTCAGCAAGCTCCGTGCCAGCTCGCCAGGCCTCGTCCTTCAGCACTTCCTTCAGCCCCCTTTCCAGAGGCAGGGCCATGCAGTCCGTGGTCCCAGGCTGGCTGGGCTGGGGCTTCCGTTCCCGGTTCCACACAAATCCCATCAGTGCTTTTTCCTGAGCGGCCCACCCAGGTGCCAGGGCCTGGGCTTAGCAGTCAGTGATCGCAGGGAGGAGGAGCAGACCCAGCCCTGGTCTGTGTGGGACGCAGAGGACTGGAGCACTGGAAATCTGCCTCATCCCTACCACCCCCCTCCCCCACAGAACCATTCAGACCCACAAGGGGCCACTTGGTCCTCGCCTCTACAAAGCAGTGCGGAGTCCCGCCCCCAGTCCCTTCTCTGTTCCCCAGACCCGCTGCTGGTCAGGCCTGACGCTTTCTTCCTCCCGCAAGGATGTTCTGGAACCTGGGAAACTCACAGCTCCATAGAAGAGCCCAGCAACAGAGCAGCCCAGCCCAGACCCAAGAGTATAGTAGGAGCTTAAAGAAGTCATGAGCTGTCAAAGAGCTTTCAGCCCTATATTGCCCGCCCTCCAAGGTCCTTGAGACTGCTTCCTAGTGCCAGGGACTGGTAACACGTCTCAACCATATGGCTAGATCTTAAAAATGTGGGTGTGAATCCCAGCCTGTAAGGACAGGACGTAGACAGGAGCCCCCACCCCCCGGCCCCCCTACTCAGGTCCAGACAGCGCAGCCCAGCCCGGCCTGGTGACTCAAGGCCTTGACTGGAGCCAAGCTCTGCACCCTCGACAGCCCTCCCAGGTCTCTCTCAGACCGCCACGCTGAAGACTTCAGTCGGAGGATGCCAGGACACCTCTAGCTACTGAGGCAAGGCCTGGCAGTGTGTCTGGAGGGGGCGGGAGGTCAGGCAGGCTCCCTTGGGCTCCCAGAGCTGCAGGAGATCCAGACAGGAAGGGAGGAGGAGGCTGAGGGAGGGAGTGGAGAGGGGAGAAGAAGAGGGGTGGTCCTCAGCCCCAAACAAGGCTCACCCCAAAATAGGATGCTGAAGATGACAAAAACAGGAAAGGGACAGAGAAAAGGGGGGGGCGGGGGAATACCCTTGGGGGACTAGGAAGGATGCTGAAGATGATATAAACAGGAAAGGGACAGAAAAAAAGGGGGGACGGTGGAACACCCTTGGGAGGTACCAAGGAAAGAAAAGAGTGGCCGCATGCCTGGCACTGTGCCGGGGGGGGGGGGTGCTTTTCATAATCTCATTTCATTTTACCAAATTGACCACAAGAAAGGTATTGTCACCCCCAGGATACTGATGAAGGCTGAAGCTCTGGGAGTTTCACGGGCTTCTCCAGGGAATGGCTGCGGGCCAGGCCAGGTCCCCAGCAGGGTCGCCCTAGGGACCTGGGCTCTCTGGTCTCAGCAGAGATGGCTGGCAGGGCCAAGGCCCTGGCCCGGAGAACCTATGCAGAGGCCCAAGCTGTGTTCAGAGCGGAGTTTATTCAAACAGAGCCTAACAGGAAACTTGGCTCCTCTGACTCACTCTGATTCGACCTTATTAAGAGAAAAAGAAAGAGGAGCAGGAGCCAGCAGTGGGTAGGGTTTCACGCCAAGAGCCGGCTCTGAGGCAGAGGCCAGCTGAGCTCGATAGCCTGTGCCCTGATCGCCCCACAGCCTCCAAATGCCCAAGGCAGCCCCTGCACTCTGCCTGCCTCTAGAAGAGGGGTCCTGCCTTCTCCACTCCTGGCTAGTGGGGCTCCCCTACCTAACAGCCATCCTCTGTCCTCCCTCCGTCCTTCCCCTTCCCTTCCCCTCCCTGACTGGGGGTACCCTGAGGCCTGTTTCCACTTCTCCTCCTCCTCTCCTGGCGCTGCTGCCCATCTGGCTGGCGGGAGGGCCCTATGGGACCCCAGGGAGTCCAGGCAGCTGGGGCCAGCACTGCAGGGGGCCGGCAGGAGGCAGGGAAGGTTTAACCCTCCAGGTCCCGGCCTTCAGTGGGCCTGGCTCTAAGTCTGTCTGGAGTACGAAACCCAACCCCACGCGGGGTTGCTGAGGGGCCCATGTTGCTGGCTGCTGGCTGCTGGCTGCTGGCTGGATTATGAGGGTGAGACAGATGTCAGGAGTCACCTGAGTCATGCCCCACCCCGAGGCACAGTGCCTCGGTGAACTAATGCTGGCTGGCCAGGGTGAGGGCCAGGGCTCCGGGGTCCCCCAGGAATGTCTACACTGGCTGTCTTCCCCCAGGTGGACTCCAGGAGTTTCCAAAGCAGAGGAGAACCTGCAGGGGCCAAGTTAAGGGCAAGTTCTTCTTCTTTGATGTATATGCACAGGAGGGAAATTTCTGCCCTTCAGGTCATGAGCAAGGTTGGAGACGGCCCAGAGGAGGCATGCAGAAGTGACTTCTTGGATGCCGCGACATTCAAACTTCTGGAAGGAAGGACAAACTTCAGAGAGGACAGAGAAGCTCCCAAAGCACTCTTGGGGACCACCTGGTCAAATTCTCCATCGATCAGATGTGGCAACTGGATCAGAGTGGAGAAGGGGCATGCTCAAGATCGCCCAGCAATTGAATCACAGCAACAGGATTGAGCCTAGCTCTCCTGATTCCCTCGTTCTGCTCTTCTATGCTGACAGCACTTAAGGCCTCCTAGCTCATGTCAAAGACAGCCCCTGGGTCTCATTTTTAGCAACGCGCACACTCAGGTTATTGCCAGGCGGCACTGGCTCAAAAGACGCAGAACAGAAACCTCACACCATGCGATGTGTGAGAAGCTGACCTCTCCCAGGATTTCACAAGTTCTGCTCACCATGAGGGCATACTCCCATTCTACAGACTAGGAGAGTAAGGCTAAGAGGTGTGCCAAGAGGGGAAAGGCTGAAGCACCAGCCCCTTTGTACTCAGCCCAAGGACCTGAGGTGCACCTGGGGTCCAGACTTAGGGGGTGCATCTCCCCAGACAGCCTACCAACAAGAAGGGGATCTCTTAGCACTGACTTTGGAGAAGGGGAGGCCCTAGGGAGAGGCTAAAGTGGACAGGAGTCAGGGGCTCACTCAAGCCCCAAAAGACCAAGGATGCTGGGCCCAAAGCTGGGAGACATGGCCATAGTGGTGTTGACACCCTAGCCTTGTTCCGCCTTCCAGGGCCCCACATACGGGCACACAGCCCCCCCCCCCCCGCGCCCCACCCCCCTTCCCCTTTCTACTCCCTGCTCCATTCCCTTCCTCAGAGGCAGGTCTGCGGCTTGGCTGGAAGCTCCAGGGACTGAGAGCACAGCAGCTTCGGGACAGGCAACATAGCTAAAAGCCGGCGGGCCATAGGGCCCCGCGGAGAAGGCCCCAGCAGGCGGACCAGGCTGCCCGAAACCTCCCAACGCTCCCAGCCTGTTGCTTATTCATTCAGAGTGGGAAAGCGCCAGCCCAGCGGCCAGCCAGTACCGGGCTGGACATGTAAGGCCCCCAGGCAGTCCTGCCTGTCCGGTGCCCTGCAGAGAACCTCGTGCAGCCCTGGGCACCGCCCCTGCCCTGCCCTGACCCCTTGGCCTCGAAATGCTGTCATCGGAGGAGCCGTCCCGCTCGGGACAAGGCCAGGATGGACAGAGCTAGAGCTGGGGCAGGCAAGGAGCCGTCCTGTCCTCGAGGCCGTGGGAAGAGAAGCACGCACAGGAGTACCCTCCTGAGAGCCTCTCGGTCCACCAGGCCTCTGCAGAGGGGCCACCATGGCTGTAGCCCGAGCAGGCTGGCAGCTGGGGGCCCTGGTGTGGGGCGCCTGCGTCTGCGTCCTGGTGCACGGGCAGGAGGCGCGGCAGGGGCAGGGCTCGGACCCGGGGCGCTGGCGGCAGCTGATTCAGTGGGAGAACAACGGGCAGGTGTACAGCCTGCTCAACTCCGGCTCCGAGTACGTGCCGGCCGGGCCCCATCGCACCGACAGTAGCTCCCGCGTGCTGCTGGCCGGCGCACCCCAGGCCCCGCAGCGGCGCAGCCAAGGAGGCCCCCGGCGTCGGCAGGCCCCGTCGCTGCCCCTGCCAGGGCGCGTCGGCTCGGACACGGTGCGCGGCCAGGCGCGGCACCCGTTCGGCTTCGGCCAGGTGCCCGACAACTGGCGCGAGGTGGCCGTCGGGGACAGCACTGGCATGGCCCGGGTCCGCACCTCCGTCTCCCAGCAACGACACGGGGGCTCCGCCTCCTCGGTCTCGGCCTCGGCCTTCGCCACCACCTACCGCCAGCCGCCCTCCTTCCCGCAGCAGTTCCCCTACCCGCAGGCGCCCTTCGTCAGCCAGTACGAGACCTACGACCCCGCGTCTCGGACCTACGACCAGGGCTACGTGTACTACCGCGGCGGCGGCGCGGGGGCGGCGGCCGTGGCCTCGGCGGGGGTCATCTACCCCTTCCAGCCGCGGGCGCGCTACGAGGAGTACGGCGGCGGCGAGGAGCAGCCCGAGTACCCGCCGCAGGCCTTCTACCCGGCCCCCGAGAGGCCCTACGCGCCACCGCCGCAGCCCGCCGACGGCCTGGACCGCCGCTACTCGCACAGCCTGTACCACGAGGGCACCGCCGGCTTCGAGCAGCCCTACCCGGACCCGGGCCCCGACGCGCCGCCCGCCGGCGGCGGCGGCGGCGGCGCCGCCTACGCCGCCGATCCCCGCCTCGGCTGGTACCCGCCCTATGCCAACGTGCCGCCCGAGGCCTACGTCCCGCCGCGGGCCGTGGAGCCGCAGCCGCCGTTCCGCGTGCTGGAGCCGCCCTACCTGCCGGTGCGCAGCTCGGACGCGCCCCCGCCCGGTGGGGAGCGCGGCGGCGCGCAGCAGGGCCGCCTCAGCGTGGGCAGCGTGTACCGGCCCAACCAGAACGGCCGCGGTGAGTACCGGCCCGCGCCGCGCCGTCCGCCCTCTCGGGCCACGGTCATGGCCGCCCAAACCGCTCCGTGGGCCTCCCCTGAGCTAAGGAATTCCACAGCCACCCTGCGTCCCACCGCCCCGCCTTCCCCGGGGCCTCTCCTGGTCGGTGGCAGGATTTGACCAGGGAGGCCTGGGCTCTGACCCTGGCTTGATGGGCAAGGGGCTGAAGGCCGCGCTTTGGGAAGGAGGCACCTTCCAGATTTGGTGTGGGTCATCTGGGGACAAAGGGAAGGAGCCCTTCTCCCCGGCCCTTCCTCATTTCAGTCAGGGCCCCGTCTTCTGCCCTTGGAGGTGCCCTTGTGTCAGCCTCACAGGGTGAAGCAGGGAGCATCGGCATCAGAAACGTGGGGTCAGTGTCAGCAAAGCCTTACGGGGTGCCCCTGGAGGTGTGGCAAGGTCCCAGGCACTAGCAGTCTGTGAGCTTGACCTGTTGAGCGGGAGGTTAGGGAGGTGGCCCTTGCCCCAGGCAAGAGTCCAGCCTAGATGACTGGAGTTCCTTAAAGGGGACACTGCCAGGGCCAGACTGGGAAGTAGTGAGGCATTGGCCTGGGTGCAGAATTTAAGGGGATGTCAAACAAAACCCTCAGTAATCAAGAAAAGTAATATTTGAATGCGTTTTTAAATCAAGAATAATGCAAACATTTTGAAAGCCTGTGATGAACAAAATATCCAGCTTTCAAACAGAATGAGTAGTGGTGCCATGCCAGGCCCTGATGGAGCCCGAGGCAACCTGAAAACTCAGAAATACTGATCCTGTCTTTATTGAAACTTTTGATATTTTATTCATCACAGATTTTTTTTTCTTTGATTTTTTTTTAAAGTATTGCCTCAAATACTACTTATCTTGGTTACGGAGTTTTTTGGCGTCCCGGCCGGTGTCTCACTCACTTCGCTCAACCCACTCTAGTCCTGGCCGTGGGGGAGAGTCCCAGGAGGGAGCTGTGGACAGGCCTCCCTCTGGCATCTATTGGGGGGAGGGGGGTCGTGAAGATGGGACCCAGTCTTGAGAAGGCCCAAGCCATCTGCATGTGAGAGCACAGCGAAGGGGCAGCTTTTGTTCTTCAGACATGCTGTTAGCAGGCACGCTCCTGTGGTGAGAGCCCACTTGTGGTTTGGCCAAGGCCAGCTGACTTGTACCACACACAACCCCCCCCCCTGCCCCCGGCTGTCCTAGAATTCCCCTTCTGCCTCTGTATCTGCTGCTCCAAAGTCAGCCTTGGTCAAGGTCTTCCATGCAGGCCCCAGTGTGTCCACATTGCAAGCGTGGCCTGCCTCCTTGAGGCTGCAGTCGGTGCCCCAATTCTCTGCTCTGTGCTAGGTTGCTGTGCCGGGCTCACCAGGGGATGGCTGAGCCCCACAGGGCACAGGGGCGCAGGTACAACCCCCCCCCCCACCCCCCAGACTTGGCTGCTCCAGCTCTATCAGCACTGGGACTGCTGTCTTGTCTCCAGCCACCCTGACCTGGGTGAGAGGCTGCTTGGGAGTGGAGGGAGGGTTTCAGTCTCCCCGGGGGCTGTTGGAGCCCAAGGCTAGGGGTGAGGAAGGTCCACACTGGTAGCACCTACTCCTTCACATCCCTGGCATAGCACTCATGTTGGGTGCTGAAGCCCACTTTGAGAACCTGCAGGGGCTCAGAACCGGAGCTGGATGGGGGCCCCTTCTGTGATCCCATGAACTTGTTCCTGCCTTGCATGGGGCACACGCGTGGGGTCCTCGCGGGACTTGCTGCATCCCTTCACAGTTGTGCCTTGTTTGCTCCTAGAGCTCCTTGGAGAAGTCATCCCATCTATAGGTGCTAAGCTCCTGCGGTAGCTTGTCTTAGAACACATGGCCTCAGAGTGGGGCTCAGCCAGGAGTGCCCCGCTTCTGGGCAGGGGAGAAGACAGAGGCCCCAGATACCATGGCAGTGCTGGCAGAGTCAGGCCTGAGCCTCAGCATCTGTGCTCCAAGCCAGTGTGTTTTCTAGGGCCCGTCTTTGGCCTCACAGTTCTTAAACTTCAGAGGTCACCGGCCAGGGCCAAGCCAAGTCTGGATTGGGGTGCTTGGTGCTTATCAGGCCTTTGGTCTTGCCCCACAGCTTATTTGGGGCTGAAGACATTTTTTCCTGCAGGTAGACTATCAGACGCCTGGTGTGTGGGTATGTATCAAGTCCAGGCTCTGCTCTGGGGGCCACATAGCAGAGGGGACACATCAGTGCTGTGATTGGGCAGGTATTAGAGGGACGAGGTAGGGGAACCCATACAAGGGGCCTCCCCAGTCAGGGGCTAGGGGTCAACGAGTACTTCCTGGAGGAGGAGGTACCCATGTATTGCTGCAAGTGATGGCCATCAGCACCCTCCAGGTGCTCCTTTCCCTAGTCATGGAGGGGCTGGTGGGAAGGAGTGTGGGGGTACAGGCTAGTTTGGGGCTCAGCGAGAAGCCAGAGAGGGAGCAGCACCTTCTCCCCCATCATTGGTTCCCCCTCCCCACCCTGCTAGGCACAGACCATGGAAAATCCCAGTTAAGAGAAGGCCAAGCCTTGTGCTTGAGATCAGACCCCCAGGCCTGGTGTGGGAGTCCAGGGCAGATTCTCCGGGACTGACCTCATTCCTCCTGGCCACACACCCAGGGGTCTGAGGCTGGGTGCTGGCAGTCTGTGTGCGTGTGGGCGTGGATGTGTCCTCACAACGCCAAACACATGTGCACACCGCCCACGTCCCTCCATGTTTGGGCACTTTCCAAGCGTCTGTCCAGAGCCCGGTTTATTCCTCTGGCGCCTGCACCCTCTTCCCTCCCACCCAGGGCTGGGGCTGCCCAGGCCTCCTGCAATACCATTGTCTCCGACTCCGAAACTTGTAACTGGAGAGAAAACCAGGAAACAGGGGCCCAGAGAGGGTCACATACTTTGTCTGGCTCTCTGCAAATCCATGCAGAGGCCTGGAGGGTGACCGGTGGGTTCCCAGGCCTAGCTGTGGCCCCTGCACCGGGCCTTTCCCTCCACCATGGCCAGGCCCTCCTCTCCTAGCCTCTTTTCTCCGCCCCTGCCTCCCCATAGCCTCTGCTTTTCCAAGGCGGTGGTCTGTGGGCTGACTAAGGTGACTCCTGGTCCCAGAGGACCACAGCTCCTCTCCTAGGGCTCCCCTTTCCAGCCCCGGCCTCATTCCCTGGCCTGGCGACTCTGTGAAAGCAACATGGCACAGCCTCCCTGGCCACTGTCCCGGGGCATCGCTGATGGCTGTGCCAGGCTTGCCTGGCGCCTTCTCCAGCCCTGTCCTCGAATGGCCAATCAGAGCCCGGGAGGAAGCCATAGCTGCTCCCAGCCTCTCCCTGGCCAGTCCCTCTACATGTGAGGCAGATGAATCCTCGCAGTGCTGACCCTATTATTCTCCTGCTCGAGAAAGTTTTATAACTCCCAAAGGCCTTCGGGATAAAACTCAAACGCCTTAGCCTACTGCTCCAGAACCAGAGGCACGTCCTCCCTTCCCTCCTCCCTGTCTCACACCTCCACAGCCTCATGGGAACTGGGCTGCTCTCGACCGGGATGTTTGACCTCCCTGCACACCCAGAGATGTTCCTAGGGTACCCCCTCTCCATCTAGCCTCCTGCACCCAGGATGCCAGACAGGGCCCCTTAGTCCCTGAGAGCAGCCCCAACGCCTGTCCCAGCCCCTATCCCCCAGCCCCTATGCCCCAGGCTGCCCCCCCTTCTCCAGGTCACCTCCCTACCTCCACAGGGCTTGGAGTAAATGCAAGGAAGGACAGAAACAGGTGTCTACCCAGAAAGTGTTTGGAGTTTGGGCCCGATATGGGCTCGGGGGCTTAAATGTGCAATTTCGTTCACTCTCACAACCTCCTGGAGAGGTGGAGATTATGCTTCTGTGTCACAGAGGAGAAGACCCCAGGAGGACCCCCGCTCCACCTGCGAGCAAGCCCGGTGGGGCAGGGCGACGGCCCGGGTCTTCTCCACCGGCTCTCTGGGCCTCAGTTCCCCCAGCTGCAACCAGGGTGACGGAGCATGACACTAATGTTTGTGGGCACTTGACACATCACCTTTCTTAATTCCCGCAGCAGTCCCACCAGCCGGCTACTGCTCTTCATCCCATCTCATGAGTAGGGAGACAGGCTCATTGGCTGATTGTCACTCAGTAGTGAGACCAGGATGGGAGTCCCATTCTGAGTTCATGACCATCATATATGAGTTTTTTTTTAATTTTATGTATTCTTGCTTACCCTGCCCTCCTCATTTATCCACTCATTTATTTGGTACTTAAACAGAGGTGTGACTGCGGTGATCCAGGTACCATGGTGACAGGGTGGGATGGGACAGTGGCTCTGCAAGTCTCTGGCAGCAAAGAGCCCCTGCTCAGTGCAAAGCCTTGCAATTCTCACTGCAGATTCCAGAGCATTTGTTTCACAAGCACGTCTGTCACACGCCTACGAAGGGGCTTGTTCTCTTTCTGGAGCTTCAGGATTGGAGGCACTTAATCCTCAGCACAGCCATGGGCATTATTTACCATCCCCATTTTGGAGATGGGTCAGCTGAGGCCCTCAGAGGTTAAGCGACTTGTCCAAGCTCACATCACTGATGGCTGGTGGAGCCAGAATCACTGCCCAGCCTCCCTTCTTCCTTGCCTGAGGCTGCCTTGGGTGCTCCCTTCAGGAAGAAACGGAGTCTTCAGGCCGAGGAGGCTGCTGTAAAGGGTCAGGCGAGCCGTGGGGACAGAGGGGCCACGTTTGGCAATTGAAGGTCACTAGTGTCGGAACAAACAAGTTGTGTCCCAGGCAGCCTCAGCTCAGGCCGACTTCCTGTCTCCTCGGTTAGCATCCAGTTGCTAACTGCTCTCAAACTGGGCCATCCCCACACAAAGAGAAAGCTCCCATGCTAAATAATAATAACAGCAGCTGATATTTCTTGAGCACTGACTGTGCACCAGACACTATGCTAAGCATTGTATTTTCATTTTTTTTAACCGCCCCCCAC